AATATTTTCAATAGGATTGGTACCAGCTCTTCCTTGTACATCTAAATTCAACTGTGGATCTGTCTGGTCAGAGCTTTTCTTGGTTTGTAGGTTTTTTTTAATTACGAATTTAATTTCATGTCTCATTATTAGTCTTTTCAAGGTTTCAGTTTCCTCTTGTTCCAACCTTGGGATGTTGTGTGCTTCTAGGAATTTTTCTATTTTCTTTTTAGTATTGGTTTATATTTTTATTCTGCTGTGATTAGAGAAGATTCTTGATATGACTTTGAGTTTTTGGAATTTAATGAGACTTGCTTTAAGAGTGAGCTTATGGTCAGTCTTAGAATATTTTCCATGTGTAAGTGAGAACAATGCTTATTATGCGGTTGCTGGGTGAAGTATTTGTAATTATCTATTAGATCACATTGGTCATGTGTTAAATTTAAGTCCAGAATTTCTTGATTTTTTTCTCCCTTTATAATCTGTCTAAAGCTGTTAGTAGGGTGTTGATGTCCCCCACTATTTTTGTGTGGCTAAGTCTTCTCTTAGGCCTAACAGTAATTGTTTTATAAATCTGGGTGTTCCAGTTATTGGATACCTCTATATTTAGGATAGTTAAGTCTGCTTGTTGGATTGAATAATTTATCATTATATAATGTCCTTTTTTACTGTTGTTGATTGACTGTTTTTGTTTTGTTTTGTTTTGTTTTTTTGAGTTGGAGTCTCACTCTGTTGCCCAGACTGGAGTGCAGTGGCCGCTCCTGGCCACTGCAGCCTTGACCTGCTGGGCTCCGGTGATCCTTCCTCCTCAGCCTTCCAAGTAGCTGGAATTACAGGCATGTGCTACCACGCCCAGCTGATTTTTTTATTTATTGTAGAGATGAGGTCTTGCTGCCCAGGCGGGTCTCGAACCCGTGGGCTCAGGCAATCCACTCACCTCAGCCTCCCAAAGGCACGGGATTACAGGCTGAACCACCGGGCCCGGCAATTGACTGTTTTATTTGATACAAGAATAGTGGCCCATGCTCTATTTTGTTTTCCATCTCTGTGGTAGATCTTTCTTTATCCTTTTACTTTAAGCCTATGAATGTTAGTGGAAGTGAGATGGGTCTCCTGAAGACAGCAAAAGAATGGATCTTTTTATTTTATCCAATTTGCCAGTTTATGGTTTTTAAGTGGAGCATTTAAGGCAGTGACATTCAAGGTTACTATTGATATGTGGGATTTTGTTTCTGTTTTAGTGTTGCTAGCTAGTTGCTATGTAGTCTTGGTTTTGTGATTGCTTATAGTGCTCTGGGCTATATGCTTACATGTGCTAGGAGGCATATAGAAGGTATTATTCTTTCATTTTCATATATAGAACTCCCTTAAGTATCTCTTGTAAGGCTGGTCTGATGGTCACAAATTCCTTTAGCAATTGCTTATCTGGGAAGGACTTTATTTCTCCTTCATTTATGAGATTTAGTTTGATGGGGTAAGAAATTCTTGGCTGACATTTCTTTTCTTTCAGAATGCTAAAAGTGAACCCCCAATCTCTTCTGGTGTATGTGGGTCTGCTGAGAGAATGTTCCCTTTAGTCTGATGGATCTCCTTTTGTAGGTGATATGGTTCTTCTCTCTAGTTACTCTTAACTTTTTTTCTTTTGCATTGACCTTGGATAGTTTGATGACTATGTGCCTTGGGGATAGTTGTCTTGTATAATATCTCACAGGAGTTTTCTGAATTTCTTGTATGTGCATGTTGATATCTTTAGCAAGACTGTTGATATTTTTCTTGATGATGTCCTCAAAGACAATCTCTAGATTATTTCTATTCTCTTCTTCTCTCTCAAGAATGCCAATCAGTTGTAGGTTTGGTCTCTTGACAAAGCCCATATTTCTTGAAGGCTTGGTTCATTTTTAAAAATCATTTAAAAAAATTTGTGACTGGGCTGATTGAAAGGATTGATCTTAAAGTTTTGATAGTCTTTCTTCTGCCTGGTGCAGTCTGTTGCTAAGTCTTGCAACTATATTTTGAAATAAAGTGAATTCTTCAATTCCAGAAATTCAGTTTGGTTCTTCCTTAGTATGGTCATGTCATCTTTCAATTATCGAATCATTTTCCTGACTTTTTTCTTTTGGATTTCCCCTTTCTTGGATATCATTGAGATTCTTTGCCATCCATATTCTAAATTCTCTATCTGTCATTATGGATATTTCATTCTGGTTAGAACCCATTGCTAAGGAGCTGGTTTGATTCTTTGGAGATGTTGACTTTTGGTGTTGCCAGAGTTCTTGTGCTGGTTCCTTCTTCTCTGGGGAAGCTAACTTTTCTTTTTTTGAAGTTGCAAACATTGGGTTGGGGACTTTTGAGATTTTCTTTCTTTTTTTTTTTTCCTGTGGCATGACTATGATATATGTTGTGTATGGTTAATTGACTTTGTTTAGTGCCCAAACTCCTTGCTCTCTCCCTGACCCATGGGCTCCATGGGTGGAAGCAGTGTTGGCAACAACTGAGAGAAGTCCAACATTGACCTTTGGGAGATGGACCCTCAGAGGAGTGTTGAGTCACAGTTGCATATTCAGGCAGGTGCAGGAAGACTGTGCCGTATAGGAGGTTTGCCATAGAAGCAAGGGAATCCCACTGGAAGAGAGCTCTGGGGCCAGGGGTCACACAGTGTACTGACCACCCATTCTTTTGTATCACAGCTGTGGTGTTCGTCCTGAGGAGGAATGAAGCACCTGTCTTCTCCCTCACTCTCTGACCCTTGGGCAGCAGGGGCTGAGGTAGTGGCGGTGGTGACTAGGAGGGATCCAGCAAAAACCTCTGGGAGCTAGATCCTCAGAGGAGTGCTGAACCATGGTTGCAGTGTTCAGGCAGTTGCTTCCCTGCTTCTGCCATGCTGGGGACTGCTGCAGAAGCAGGAATGCCCTACCAACCTGGGAGCCACAGATACAGGCTGCCTACAAAAGTTCCCCATCTCCCCATTTCCTGTCTGGACTGTGAGTAGCTGGGACAGTAGAGTGCTGAGCACAGCTGCAGTGTTCAAGTGGGAATGAGGAAGCCAGGCTGCCACAGAAGCAGAAGAGCCTTATCTGGCAAAAGGCTGAGGGGGTGGGGGTGGGGGCATGGAAAGTGCTCTATCTCCCCCATTCTCTTTCCTGCCCACTGCAAAGGCAGTGGTGGTCGGGGGTCATGGGGCTGGGAGCAGGGGTTATGGGCAGGTCTGGGAGTTGGTAGCCTCCGGGAATTGCATGGGCTGCAGGATTCAGGCGGGAGTGGGGGAGGTGCGGTGAGGGCTCTCTCTGGAGTGGGCTCTCTCTGGAGTGGTGGAAGCAGTGGACAGGGGAGGTTGAAGGGGAGAACATGTGGTGCATTGCCCTCCCAGTTCCTTCCCATCAGGGCTACAGTATCTGTCCTGGGAGGTTGTAAAAGCACCAGGCCTTCCTCTTTGGTGGGGCAGTGGCATCCAGCACTAAACTGCCCAGGGAACAAATGCCACTGAATTCCATGTAGGCTGGAGCAGTATCCCTTCAGTATCCGGGTGCCTCCCCACCTCAGACTGGAGACTAGAGGGGTCGAGGGACCTCTCCTGTGACTAGGGCTGTAAAGGTCCAGGGCAGGGCATGGAAGCCCAGGATTCTCTCACTCATCTCTTCCCCACATTTGGAAGCCTCTCCCAGCTCTGTGCTGATTAGCAAAGACTGGCTGTCTGGCTTTGCTCTCCTCCACTTCCCATGATTCTCACTCCTTCTCTGGTGACTTCAGTGTGCTCTCTCAGACAATCAACCTGAAGTGCGAATTTTTTCACCATTTCAATTTCTATCTGCAAGAGGTGCCCACTAGCTGTTTCTAGTCAGCCATTTTGAACTGGAGTCCTATCTGGATCCTAAGGGAACCTACAAAATGAACAAGTGGAACTTTGTTACTTTTTGATTATTGCCATTGTTTTAGTCCTTTCAGGCTACTTTAAGAAAAGGACATATACCTACTGAGTGAGTTACTTCTTAGTATGGTCATGTCATCTTTCAATTATTGAATCATTTTCCTGGCTTTTTTGTTTTGGATTTCTCCTTTCTTGGATCTCACTGAGATTCTTTGCCATCCGTATTCTAAATTCTCTATCTATCATTATGGATATGACTTCCAAGACATTTATTTCTCACAGTTATGGAGTCTGGGAAGTCCAAAATCAAGTGTTCAGGAGATTTGGTGTCTGATGAGGTCCTGCTTTCTTGTTCACACATGACACCTTTTCTCTGTGTCTCTCACATAGAAGAAGGAAGGGAGCTCTCTTGTACCTCTTTTATAAGAGCACTAATCCCATTTCTAAGGGCTCTACTCTAATGACCTAATCATGTCCTCAAGGCCTCACCTCCTAATGCCATAAGCTTGGGGGTTAGATTGACAACATATGAATTCTGAGGAGATATAAATGTTCAGACTGTAGCAGCCATCAAAATATCTCTGAAAGATGACACTATAATTATTGCAAAGCTATGTAATGTGGTTCATTCTACCATAGATACAAGTATAAAGCAATGTTAGAAAAACTGTCCAAGTTTGTGTATACAATAAATGTGATTTGTTTCAAAATGTTAAACAGTTTCTGATCTAGGATTCAAATTTGAATCTTTCCAATTTCACCCATGTTTGATAATTAGAAAATAAAATGTTTTCAGCAAAGAAACTTTATTAGTCCAAAGTAACAGTGGAACTGGGCTGGCCCATGTCTGCTTTTAGCCTGAGAACTAAGATGAACAATATCTGATATCATCTCCATGTCTTGGCAGGGAGAAAGAGCTGTTCCCATTGCTTGTAGATGATCCTGAAAAATATAGTCAATTTTCTTAACCACAAAAGTTTAACCTCAAGGCAGAACACCTAGACATCATAAGTGGCACTTTATCACTTGCTACTCCTTCAATCAAGGAAATGTATGTTTTTTTTAACTAGGGCAAGATTGTGGTATTATTTTTAGGAGAGAAACATTCTATGAAAAAATGCTTTACTTCTAAATATTTTTCTCTTATTGTTCCCAGATTCCCACAGATAGCTCATTGGATGGGATGGTGTGTTCAGTCTTGTCCAACACATCAGAGGACAAAGCTGAGAATGAGGGACACCATGGAGACTGTCACCCCAAGTGGTCAGAAGTGAAAAATTATCTTGTCCATGAGATCAGCTGGCTGCAGGTCTACCAACAGGTGCAGTCCCACATCCAAATACTCAGTCCAAAGGCATGCCAATTTGAAGAGTGTCCAAATGTACCCACCCCTCACACTGTTCACTGATTTTATGTTTTTCCCAGGAAAGGACCTTAGGATTTCCACACCTTCACCATTGAGTGCACCTTTCCCCATATGCAGCCACTGGCCCCAGCTCATTAGGCCCTTAACATATGTCACCACTTGGTCTATCCTAGGCTTTAAAACAAACATGGCAACCAAAAGGTTCCTAGACTCATGCTGTGCTATTGAGAGATCTGCCCCATCCCCCACCACCTGGTTACTTTGCTCAGCTCCTTCTCCTTGGAGTTTCACATGCAAGCATTCAGCATCCCTGCAGCAACTGAGTGCTGATTGGCCTCGTCCCTTCACTCTGGTTTTGAACAGAAGCACTATGCACAGTGACTGCGAGTTCAAGGCAAACAATGAGAAGAAAGACTGTGATCTGTTTGCACAGAGAAGTTGGTGTAGGACAAAGTGCCCCAAGTGGTGGGAGAACTCTTGACTTCAGAAGTTCAAGGCATCCTGGTTGGTTCACAGCTTTGTGTTTCTTGGGGAGACTATGAAAAACTGCCCCCAGGTAGTCACTTTCCACTTGTTTTATTGGGCATCACATTCCCCATTTCACGTTTTTCCTCAGAGAACACACCTCTTTAACTCCCACCACTCTAACCTGCACCACTTAAAAAGGTCAAAGTGGATAAAACATCATTAAAAATACAAAGGTGTGATTTTCCACCTGCTGGCACTAAAGTAATCTGAGCACAAAACGATCAAAGTACAACACCAAAATGGCCAGCATCAAAATGGTCTGGAGGATGCCTTGCTTTGGGCATTACCTGGGTAACTTAGGGTTAATTAAGGCTTAGCACACGTAAATGCATGTCATGCATTTTCCCATGCTATCTGATTTGGGCAGGAGTGGTATATTTTGACGTCATATTGATGATAAACCTTAATGCTAATTGCCTCGTCTCGTCACTCCCAAGTCCATGTCATAAAATGACATTTAGTAACTATGTACACATGAGGTTATATATTTTACAGTATATGAATGTATTTATACTATCTTAAACATGTCAGTTTTGTTTTAAAATTATATTCTATTTATTTAAAATGTATATTATTTCCTTCTCTCTCTTTTTTTTCTCTTTGGGGGAAGAAAAGAGAGAAATAGGATGCCAATTAAAAGGTAACACGAGGCCGGGCTCGGTGGCTCAGCCTGTCATCTCAGCACTTTGGGAGGCCAAGGCAAATGGATTGCCTGAGCCTACAGGTTTGAGACCCGCCTGGGCAACTTGGCAAGACCTTGTTTCTACAAGAAATCAAAAATTAGTCAGGTGTGGTTGTGTGCGCCTGTAGTTCCGGCTATTTGGAAGGCTGAGGCAGAAGGATCGGTGAAATCCAGTAGATCGAGGCTGCGGTTGCCGGGAGCATGCCACTGAACTACAGTCTGGGCAACAGAGTGACTCCAACTCAAAAAAAAAAAGTTACATGTATCCATTGCTGCAATTTTGCAATCTTTAATTTCTCAGCAGAAAAGAAGTCATAGTGCAATTGTTAACAGATATTTCAATTTTCCAGCAGATTATAATTATGCTGCCTGCCATCCAGAATGATCTGCAAATATTTCTTAACTAAACACTATTATTTCGAATTCACTTTTATCAACAATACTTCTGCTTTTAAATTTGTAGATGTTTAATCAGTGGGCAGAGAAGGTCCTGCTTCACCAGATACTCACGGGCATGGGCCACAGCCTGGAGTCTCTCAGAGATGCGTTTGCAGAAGAGAGCACGCCGTGGAAGGTGGTGGAAGCTTTGCATACTGGGCTTCTCTTCTTGAATGACAGCTTGGCAGCAGATGGCCCAAGAGACAATCACATATTTCCAAAGATGTAAGGCACATTTCCCTGTTTCATGACTGATTAGGTAGATGACACTGAATTTTAAAGAATGCATGATGCTGCTGCTAGAAACAAGTTCTGGAAAGTATAGCTAGGCAATAAATTCCTACTAAGCAAGTGGGAAATCCAAGGCTTTTGTTGTGGACCATCACTAGGACAGAACTCTTTGCAGCACTCTGGATGCTCTATACAGATGTTGCAAACCATCTAACAGGAGAACAATGTTTGAGAAGGTATCAGCTTCCTGGATTTTTAGATTTTGTCTTTGACTTTTGTTTAAAAATGGACAGATACATCTTACAGATATTTTCACACAGGAACTGCCTGTTACCATATTTATTTAAAGATTCTGTATAGTTGAAATATTTATATAAGGCTCAGAAATATTTTAGAAGTAGGAAAAGGTGAAATTTGTGGTTTCTTCATTTTTAAGATAACCAGATTTTATTCATTAAGAAGGTGAGGATTGGATCTGTTTCTTCAGTAGGTCTGGCAGTTTGTAGCAACTTGAATCTTATTATCCTCCTGAATTTGAGGCTCTCTTTGAAAGAGAACAATATGACTTCTCAATATTATCTCAAAAGTGTTCCTTTCAAATCAGAGTCACACAAATTCTTGCATTCTGTGTACCATGAAGAAAAATTGTGATGGCAGAGTTGTGTGGGATCATAGTGTGATTTTTTCATTATGTAACAAACAGAAACTCTAAACAGTTCTAACACTTTCACATTTTCTGGGACCCAGTTGAATAAGAGGATCTTGCTTTTGAAGGTCCTGTTTCCTAAATTTTACTTAATAGTTGTCCTGGGGCATGCGGTGCTGATGCTCAGGCAGCAGTGCAGTTCCCCACTAGGGCCATAAAAGCTACAGGGGGATGGATACAGGAGTCAGCAGAGATACCAATGATCTAGGCAAAGGGCAGGGATGAATCACTTGGCCATGCATGAACTTCAAATGCAGGATATTGCATTGAGGGTATTGAAAACTTTCCTGCTGGTTTATTATTTAATGCACATTAATAGAGATACCACATTAAGTCACACTAATTATTCTGTAAACCTCAAACACCTCCTGGCACTTTAGACCAGGGTTCTGTCTACTCTCCACCAGACCAGAAAAATGAAGCCCCAGGAAGCTCTACCTGGCTCTTAGCTCCTACAGGGTAGGGAAACTAAAGACCACACCACCTTCTAAGTACCACGCTTGGACAGCCCGAGTTTCCCTGTCCAAGTTTCTCTGTCTCCATACATAATTTCTACACACTCTCAGGGTCAGGTTGATTAGGGCCCAAACACTGGCTTTGCCATTCACTGGTTGTGTGCACCGGGAAAGCAATTGGCCTTTGGAACCTCCATTTCTATTTGGACACTGCTTTCATTGCGAGTAATACAAAACTTCTGCCTCACAGCTGTTACCTGTGCAGTTCTGGCCCCTCTGTCAGCTTCCCCAGGCCTTGGCCTCTGGTTTGGTAATGGCATCACTGTGTGATCTCTGAGGCCCTTTCTAATCTTCAACCTCTTGGTTTGTTGAAGGCTTGCTACAGGACTGTCCAATGATCCTGTGTCTTTATCTATCAAGAAGAAATCATCTACCCACTTTGTTAGACTGCAACAAGAATTGACAGAGACTCCCTGTGCTGAAAATAGCTCACATGGAGTGGATGGTCTTATTCATTGGTCACTTCCCAACTCCTGTCACCAAAACATGCTTATCTGTCCATCTAAACTCACTCCTACATCCCTCTATCCTTCCCTTTTTTACAGATTTGATGATTTTTCTACATGGATGTCAGAAGTCCCTCACACATACATTCAATATTTTGGAATCCCTTTTGTTAATTCTATTATTTTCTGAGTAAATGTTTTCTTTTACTTTTATATGAAGTCATGAGTCTCATCCCTCTAGGGGCTAATTGGTGTGTGTGACTGTGTATGTGTGTGTGTGTTTAAAGTTCCAATTGCCTTCTTACTGTGGTGTGTAGTTTCTTATTCACATACCTATGGCTCTGGACTCTTGTCCCTGTTTTGTCTCCTGAGCATTGCTGAAGGCTTCTTTCTCCTCTTTTCATTGTCCCTGTTGATATATCTATGACTTCCTTTTCTAAGTTTTGTCCTTGTTTCGCCAATTCAGTTTAAGTATTTCAGTTAAATCAGACAGTCACTTGCCTTCTTTCTTCAAATTTTTGTAAGATTCATGTTATTCCTCATCAGAAAACTGTGTCTTTTATCATTAGCTTTTATCCTAATCTTTGGTCCAGTAAACCACACCCTTTTTTTTCTACCTTGTTTCTATAGCCAATTGTTCATGACTTTTTCTCTTCCTAGGTCAGTGCTCAACCAAAAGAAAGGAAAATGCTACCGAACCCTCAGTTTCCTACTGAGGACTGTGTGCCATTACAGACGTATCCTTCTTGAGATTTTGTCTGTTCTTGCCCAAGTCCCTTTGGTCTCTCTAGGTTGCAAGTCACATAGTATATCTCTTTTCCTTGGGGCAAATGAAATTAAGTACAACCATCTCTTTCCCATGTTCTAGTTGTTTTCAAGAGCTACTTTGCCTTCTCCTCAGTGTAGCATAGAAAACCAGGGGAACAACTAACCTCATTCTACTTCATCCTACAGAGGCCCAGTTCAAGAAATCACACTTCTGGTTTAAGGCAAGAGAGCAGTGCCAGGAGTCTGGTCAGTAGCCAGAAAGCCTGAACAAGCAAAGATAATAGAGTAGTTGCTCTGCTGTGTAGCTGGAGGATGTGGGGACTGTAGTGCCGCCTCATACCGGTTTCTTGTAGGGGAATTATCATCAGGACCCCACTCACACTCTCCATTCCCTCCACAGTGGTCATATCCATCAGCACACTAGTTCCAGAATAGCAGCAACTGTTGACCAAGACTGTGCTTTACCCAGGATGCTGTGAAGAGATTGATCCCTGTGGTGCAGAAGTCAGATGGAGGCCACAGCCCGAGAATGTGGTGTAGCTCCAGCCAGTGGAGCATTGTGCTTGGGCTCCACGTAGTCACTTCTCTTTCTTTGTCTCTCCTCTTAGCTTGCATTATTTTCATGATAAGAGTTCCATGAGCTTACACGAAGACTCAGAAAGCCTGAACTCCCCTGCTGGTGCAGTTCTGCTCCTGCCATCTGACTGCATCTTGATCCTCATTCTGCTACATTTACTCTGATTTCAGTTTCCTCTCATTTTCAAAATCATTATCTTTCCAGCGTCTCTTCTAGGCTACCTTCTCCATGTCTTCACCATGTCTGGACCCTGTTAGCCGAATGCCCCAGGGACTGTAGTGTCAAGCTGCCTGGCTGGCCATCCTTCCTTTGATCTTGGAGAATCTCACACACATTGCTAGTTTCCCTAGTTTGGACCACTTTGATAAGCCCTGTGTTCCACCACACACTGTCTTTATATTTGAATTTTTTCTCAAAATATTTTTCTATGTCTCGTTGACTGTAGGTTTCAAGAAAAATGTTTTAAAATCTCACTTGGAACTTGATTCTATCCCTAACCTTTTAAACACATGATTAGGAATTTGCTTTTTGGTTTGGGGGAATAGAGAATGTTTAATCCATACTTAATACCAAAAGAATCTCCAAATCAGTTGATTCAAACAATGCAATTTGTCAAGAACCTGGTTATACAATGAAATGAGATTTTCAGTCTATGAACACACTTCCCAAAGCAGTGGAATATTTTCCTCTGAATGGAATTTTTATTTCCCTAGTTGGCATACTGAACTGTTTTCCATTTCATTTCATTTATTTATTTTTGCCCTCAGATTACGACATCTGCGGAAATTGCAAAGCGTGCTGCACAATCTGCCCCAGTGGCCGGCTATGAAGAGATTGCTTCAACTTGATGGTGCTCTCAGGAATTCAATAGCTCAGAATTTACATTTTGTCCAAGGTAAACCAGCTCTGGTGTTATTTGTCACTGACTCACTAAGAGCAAACATGAAATTTATTGGAAAATGGACTTGAAACTGTCGGACAACATTGTAAAGTTTGGAGATAAGTTTGCTAGTGTTGTACATATTTATACTTTGATGCCTTGCAGGACATTTCAAATATAGCAGACTAAGTCTGAATAAACAGTTCTGGCACAGTGAAGAGTGCATCCTTCTGCTGGCCATAAGCCCACAGTGTGGCCTGTGACAGGTGGTGTCCTGGGACTGGGGTTTGGCTTTCACTTTCATACCAGCATCCATGGTTCTCAGGCTGAAAAGGAACCAGATGGCATTGTGAATGAGTACATCTTTCATATTCTGTTTCCTTTCCCTCTGCTCCTTGGCATGTGAAAGGGAGAGCATGTTCTTCCTAGGTTTGCAGAATGCTCTTCTTTGAACTTCATTGACTGTGGTGGGCATTGTTTTTTCTGCCCCCTTCTGAGGAAGTCAGGTTTGCACTTTGCCGGGTAGGCAGGAGCTTTTTTATCTTCTCAAGGAGGAGAGAAAAAAAAATGAGGAGAGATGTTACCAAAACCCTTCTGTAACTAAGAACTCATGCTCCTGAGCTTTCAGAAAGGATAAAATAGTATTCCAGTGACTTTGTTTGTTGTCCTCTCTAAGGAAGATAATAACATGCATGACAACAGGTCAAATTTACTGAAATGCATGTTTTTGGAATCCAGTTTATTGACTCATGGCCATGTGTAGAACTCAAGCTTGGAGTAGCCTACCAATTTGTCTATCTTGCAGAAATCCTTTTTCACATGGAGACATCAGCTAATGGTTCCAAATGGGTTGGACTTGACCAATTGAAACTGGAAAAGGACATGTTTTTCTGGGAGTTAATGCAGGTAAAGCCCAGCAAAGGATTATAAATAAGCAATTTTTATAAAACATTCAAGAAGCTTATACAATATTTAGTTTTACTCCTGTTGTGAATCATGCCAACCAAATAGAACAATAGGCAAGTTTTCAAAAAACTTTTATGTTATGTTTTTTAAAAAATTTCTTATTTTCAATTCTTGAGGTCATTGAGAGGCTAAGCATCTCTAAATGCTATGCTTTTCCATCTTTATTAATATTTTAGATGTTGAAGAAGAATGCTACTACTTTCTGCCTGAGGGACCACTTGTCTGAGAAGGTGGGCATCCTACCCCCTAGAAACTCTGGCATCTGGGATGACCTCAGGGAACTGTTATGCCATCCTAACTCCTCCACCGAGACCAGTGTTTTAAACAAGCTTCTCAATTCAGTAGAGGCTGCTGTAAGTATTTTACCATCTGATCTCTTCCAAGAGCACCAATAGGCTCATTTTTAAGGTTAAATTCACCAAAGACACTAGTAATTAAGCTGGAATTTGGGTGCTGCACGTGTTGATACCAGTCTATCCACTTATAGGAAACTGGCCTACTGAATCCTAACTGCCGCACACAACCATCCCTCCAGGCTGATAGCTTTAGGGATTGTGTGCTACCTGCTAGCCAAAACCTACTTGACATTCCCTGAGAGTACCTCAAACTTTCAAGCTGTGACACTTCTGCTTCTCAGACTTCCTGGTTCCTTGACCTGCTTCAGTTTTGGCTGAATATGATAAGAAAAGTATAGGAATATCTTTGATGATCAGTCAATTAATGCAAAATTGTAGCTTTTAGTGCTCATAGGCTTTATTTGGTTCTGTGTGAGTTTTTTTAAAATTTTAGATTCAGGGATATACCTGCTGTTTTGGTTATTACAGCTTTGTAGTAGAGTTTGAAGTCAGCTAATGTGATGCCTCCAGCTTTGTTCTTTTTGCTTAGGACTGCGTTGACTATTCTGACTCTTTTTTGGTTTCATATGAAATTTAGTATTGTTTTTGCTAATTCTGTGAAAAATGACATTGGTAGTTTGATAGGGATTGCATTGAATCTCTGGATTACCTTGGGTAATAAGATCATTTTAATAATGTGGATTCTTCAATCCATGAGCATGGGATGTTTCTCCCTTTGTTCGTATCCTCTGTAATTTTATCAGAGTTTTGGCTTCTCCTGTAAGTGGAATTGAGTTCTTTTTTTTTTTTTTTTGAGTTGGAGTCTCACTCTGTCACCCAGACTGGAGTGCAGTGGCCGCTCCTGGCCACTGCAGCCTCGACCTGCTGGGCTCCAGCGATTCTTCTGCCTCAGCCTTCCAAGTAGCTGGAACTATAGGTGTGTGCTACCACGCCTGGCTAATTTTTGATTTATTGTAGAGATGAGGTCTCGCCAAGTTGCCCGAACTGGCCTCGAACCTGCGGGTTCAGGCAATCCCCTCACCTCGGCCTCCCAAAGTGCTGGGATTACAGGCTGAGCCACTGAACCCGGCCGGAATTGAGTTCTTGATTTGATTCTCAGCTTGGTCTCTATTGGTGTATAACAATGCTACTGATTTGTGTGTGTTGATTTTTGTATCCTGAAACTTTACCAAATTCATTTATCAAGTCCAGGAGTCTTTTGGAGGGGTTTTTAGGGGTCTCTAGGTAGAAGATCATTTCATCAGCCTGTAGCGATTATTTGATTTTTTCCAATTTGTATACACTTTATTTCTTTTTCTTGTCTGATTGTTCTGGCTAGGACTTCCAGTACTATGTTGAATAGTAGTGGTAAAAGTGTGCATCCTTGCCTTGTTCCAGTACTGAGGGGGAAATGTGTTCAGCTACTCTCTGTTCAGGATGACTTTGGCTGTGGGTTTGTCATATATAGCTTTTATTATTTTGAGAAGTATTCCTTCTGTGCCTGTTTTGCTGAAGGTATTTATTATGAAGGGATGCTAGATTTTATCAAGTACTTCTTCTGCATCTATGGAAATGATCATATAATTTTTGGTTTTAATTCTGTTTATACCGTGAATCACATTTATTGACTTCATATGTTAAACCACCCTTGAATCCCTGAGAAAAAACCCATTTGGCTGTGGTGTATTGTTTTCGTATGTGTTGTTAAATTTTGTTTGCTAGTATTTTGTTGAGGATTTTTGCATCTGTATTCATAAGGAATATTGATGTGTAGTTTTCTTTTTTTGTTGTGTCTTTTCCTGTCGTTCAGAGTGATACTGGCCTTGTAGAATGAGTTAGGGAGGATTCCCTTCTTTTCAATCTTGTGAAATAGCTTCAGTAAAATTGGTACCCATTCTTTGAATGTCTGGTAGAGTTTAATTGTGAGTCCATCAGGTCCTAGACTTTTTGTTGTTGTCGGGAGACTTCTAATTATTTTTTCGATCTTGCTACTTGTTATTAGTCTTTTCAGGGTTTCTATTTCTTCCTGATTCAAGGTTGGGGGGGGGTTATGTTTCCAAGAATATATCCATTTCCTCTAGATTGTCTAGTTTGTTTGCATAGAGGTGTTTGTAATTGTCCTTGATGGACTTTTGAATTTCCATTGAATCAGTTGGAAAGTCTCCTTTTTCATTTTTGATTAAAATAATGTGAGTCTTCTCTCTTTGTTTCTTAATTAATCTAGCTAGTGTTCTATCAATTTCATTTATCTTTTCAAAGAACCAACTTTTTGTTTCATTGATTCCTTGTATTGTTTTTTATTTCAATTTCATTTAGTTCTACTCTGATCTTTGTTATTCATTTTCTTTTGCTAGCTTTGGTTTGGTTTATTCATGTTTTTCTAGTTCCTCAAGGTATGTGTGGTTGTCAATGTGTGATCTTTTGGTCTTATTAATATAGGCCTTAAGTGCTATACATTTTCTTCTGAGCACAGCAGTGACTCTGTCCCAGAGTTTTTGATAACTTGTTTCATTGTTGTCATTCATTTCAAAGAATTTTTATATTTTCTTTTTCTTTTTGTTTTTTGTTTTTGAGTTGGAGTCTCACTCTGTCGCCCAGACTGGAGTGCAGTGGCTGCTCCCGGCCACCACAGGCTCGCCTGCTGGGCTCTGGCGATCCTTCCGCCTCAGCCTTCCGAGTAGCCGGATTTACAGGCGTGCGCTACCACGCCTGGCTAATTTTTTGATTTTATTGTAGAGATGAGGTCTCGCCTGCCCAGGGGTCTCGAACCCGCTGGCTCAGGCAATCCACTCACCTCAGCCTCCCAAAGGCGCGGGATTACAGGCTGAGCCACCGAGCCCGGCTTGAATTTTTATATTTTCATCTTGATTTCATTGTTGACCCAAGGATCATTCAGGAGCAAATTGTTTAACTTCCGTAACTTTGTTTGGTTTCATGAGGTCTTGAAGTTAATCTAGTTTTATTCAACTGTGGTCTGAGGTGGTGCTTGATATGATTTCTATTTTTTTGAATTTATTGAGACTTGATTTGTGGTCTTTCATATGTCTGTCTTGAAGAATGCACTGATGAGAAAAATATGTATTCTATAGTTTTTGGAGTTTGCCCTTGGGACCTGTTCCAAGCTGACTAGAAAGTAACTGCTCCTCCCTGCTAGGGTTAAGTTTCTAGAAAATGGCAACTGGCACCACTCAAGACTTTTTCCTGCACCACTCCCTGGCAGAGCATGGCTGTGGGGAAGCAGTTTACTGTGAGTGGCTAGGGCCCCACGAGGCCCAGGGAGCCCTACAAGTTCATTCAGGAGCACAGAACTCCTAAATTCCCATCAATCACATTCTCCACTGTGTTCAGAGGCTGTGGTGGACTGTGTGGAACAGGAGAGAGACTGGCCAGTTCCAGCCCAGGTCGGTGGATTTTTTTTTTCTTTTTTCTTTGCTCTATGTGGTTATTACCACTCCTTTGGAGACTCCTGGGGCACGCTGCAGGATCTGTTCCTCTCTGGGTGCTGAGAAAACTCTATCTCGGTTTACTTTCACACACTGTTGGGAGGATGAACACAGGAATGTGAAAATGCAGAGTTCTGCAATGTGGTGGCATCAGATGGTGCCACAACTTCTGCTTCTCTTGTCATGGTTCTGGTGTCCAGTACATGTCTGCTGATAGAGCCAGTCAGTGAATGGCTCTTCAACTGCAGGACCCATGCCATGTCTTGAGGCCTTCATCACAGGCTTTAAAAATCATGCTCTTCTCATGTCAGTGCCAAGGACAGGAGCTACCTTTGCTGATCATTCGACGGGGACTGCAGAATGTTGAGCAATTTGTTTGGAAAGATAATTTTGTCAAGTTCAGCCCTTATCTTTTTTACTGATTATTAGAAATTATAATAATCATATCTTTGTAGTTCATTTTCTTTCTTTCCAAATTATCTATTTCATTGTTAAATCTTCTTCCTTATATACCATAAGACCACTGAAATCATGAAACTTGTAAAATATAAATGATGTCACAGCAAAACAAACATTAAGATAATAATTGGATGGTGTACATAATTCAATTCAATCAGCACTTTCTTAGCATTTACTTTCTGTGTTATGATACGTCAAAAGGCATACAAACATGAAAAAGACACTATCTTGCCTTAGAAAAGCAGACAACACAAGTGCCTAGGAGCTTAGCATCTAGAAGTCTTCCTAAATACACCAATGAGGCTTAAATGGGGTGTGAGGTTTGGAAGCACAGAGAAATCAGGAGAGGATGATAGGCAGGTAAAAAGTGTATATGAAGGCATGCAGGCACAAAAATCCACTACCTATCTGTGCATAGCTGTCTTGCTTCTGGGTGTAAGTTCTCTTCTGGCAGAAAGCCCATTCCAAATCTTGTTGTATTGATAAAGCCTAACTTATAGCCCTGCACAGAGCAGGGACTCAGCAGGATCTTCTGCTGGTGCTGAGTATATTCACAGGTTACACATCTCAGAGATAGACTTCTAGATAATACTTAGGTTACCTATCACTAATGAGCCCCACCCCCCTTTAAAACCAAACACATTCTATTAGCTCTCATGACTGTGGGTTGACTGGGATCAGCTGGGCATTTCTTCTGACAATCTTACCGGGTTGGGCAACACTGACGTACTTGCAGTCAGATAGCAGCCGAAGCTGGAGTCTGCTCAGCTGGACACTGAGGAGAGCCTCTTATTTTCCTCTTGAGTCTCAGGGCCTGTTTTCTCTAGGTAGCCTCTCTGTGTGATCCCACAGCAGGGTAGTCAGACTTCTTACATGGATGTCCAGAGAAACCTAAAACAGGCAAGAAGGGAGGAAACATAGGAGCCGACACTCCCCAGAACTGGCACGAGTTACACCTCCTGCATTTTATGGGTTCATGAGAGTCAGAGGCCAACCTAGAGAAATTATGGAAGGGAGTTGCTGGGAGTGAGACTATTAAGCGGTCTGGTTAATTGCAGTCATATGGGGAGACTGGCTAACACAGATGGCTATGACACTTGGGTCCCCCATCCTACTTTGTTATTAAATAAGTCTTTACTTTGGGGTCTATTTTCTAGAAGAGGAGTAAAGTTTCCAGTCTAGAACTGTTACTTAGGTGATCACTGTCCTATAGGGCACAGTTCAAATGGATCCCTTGTCAAGTGAGACTAGGAAAAGGCTGTTGCTCAAATATCCATATTTGAATTACTTTGTTTATTAGAAGCAATATATATATTTTTTTCCTGTTAAGGAACATATTTTGCAAGAGGTCATTACTGGGCACACAGATATGCCAGTTTTAATACCTGAAGAAGTTTTGGACTGGCGGGAAGTGGGGACACAGCTGTCAGAAGCCAGCTTTTCCTGTACTCGGCTCTTCCAGCGGCTGGGAGCTAATGCCTCATCCGGGAGTGGTATCTTTTCTGGTGACTGTAAACACCAACTTGCCTCTGCAGTGTAAGTACATGTTTTATGGAAAACTTCTCAACAATTGGACATTGAAATGATTTCAACTGCCTCCTTCTACTCAAAATGATACATTAACATAGTAGATTATATTTCTGATGACGACTAGAACTATGTTCCATTTATTTTGAAAAAGGTTAATCTATTTGTACTATTGGAAGGCATCTAACAACAATAAATTTTAAACAGAGGCCAGCTGTGGTGACCCATACCTGTAATTCCAACACTTTCTGAGGCCAAGGTGGGAAGATCGCTTGAGCTCCAGGGTTTGAGAACAGTTTGGGCAACATAGCAAGGCCTTGTCTCTATAAAAAATTTGAAAAATTTAGCCTGTCATAGCGGCACGCACCTGTAATCCCAGCTACTTGGGAGACTGAGGTGGAAGGATCGTCTGAGCCAAGGAGGTTGAGGCTTCAGAGAGCCATGATCATGACACTGTCTCTAGCCTGTGCAGCAGAGTGAGACTCTGACTTTATGTAGCAATCTAAGATCCCTGTTTAGTCCAGGGTGTGCATGTGATTGAGGTTCTTGTATATTGCATTACTCAGAATTCTCACATTAACTACTAGTAGGAGATTTCTCTTGGGAGCTGTAATTCTCCAGAAAAATTGCCTTGTTTTTTTATTTTATTACTCTGTGAGTTGTATGTGTGATCAATGTCTACTTTCCTTGGCTCCTAGGAAGTTCATAGTTAAATATATCAAATAGGGAATGTATTTTTCTTAACCTCAAAGTTCACTTCATATTATGATCTTTATTTTTTTCTCTTGATTTACTCTTATATTTTATGTATTTCCATAAATGACTTTTCCTAATTTTTCAAATCTGGGTAGAGGAATTTGTAAACTAATAGATAACAATTAAAATAGCTATTTCAAAGATTCTAATTCTTTATATATGTGACTGCCAGGTATTTGCATGTATTTATATTTAAACAAATGTATAATGATCTGTTATATGAGAATCATTTTTAACTTTTAGTTTTCTCTGGATTCTTTATGACTGCAGGATATTTCATACACTTGAAAAAGCACAGTTTTTCCTGGAACAAACATATTACTGGAACGCCTTCACAGGGTTTATCAGGAAGACTTGTGAAGTGGCTCGATACGTAAATATGCATGAGCGTTTCCACAGCAGTCGATCTGGTAAGTCAGGAACCTTATCTACGGAAGAAAAAGTGTTACCCCATTTAGTGAGGTAATATGACTTCCTAAAAGACTATCCTATTTTAATAAAGGGATGCTTAAAACAGGGCCTTCTCTAAGTACAATTTGCCACTGTGATTACTTCATATAATTTTTCCCATCAATTATGACAAGACTTACCAGAAGGCCAGGTTGTCTCTGCACAGTTTCTAATAGTGACTGATTTTACTCACAAAACTGCCTTGTTTTCGATGATAAATATTCACATATGCAGACTAATCTTGACCCTACCCACAAGAGTTCAGATTTACCGCTGTGAGCCTTCTCACTTGACTTGGCATGAAGTCTACCCCACATACTGGGAAAAATACCCCATGCAGAGTGTGCTCCCATATAGGAAAACACAAACTGTTTTTCTCTAGATGCACACTCTGTACTCAACATTTCTGTGATCAAATGTGTGGGTTTTTTTTTTTTTCCCCACAACAAGCAATTCTCTGGTTCTCTACTTATTGGGTATCTAGCAACTCAATTCAGTTACGGCACTATCTATCTGGAGTTAGTATCAGATCCTACAGTTTAAGGGCTCAGTCCCTCAAGACTGCCCCCACTTCCAATGCCAGCCCCAAGTCTGGACCTCCCTTTTGACTTCTGACCAACTGGCCATAAATCAGAATTCTCGTGATCCCCTCCTCTTGTTCAGTAATTTGCAATATAGCTCACAGAACTCAGAAAAATAGTTTATTTACTAGATTACTCGTTTATTGCAACGAACACAACTCAGAAACAGTCCATGTTAATCAACCTGTCTTAAAGGTTCAGGGTCCGTTCAAGCTTTTCTGAGGAAGTGTCTCTCCTGAGTCTGGGTGTGTACTTTCATACTAGTTCCTCACCTATATTGCTGCTTTAAAGTGTTTTATTCTTTAGAGTCTCTTGCTTCTGTTCAAAAGCTTTGAGTTTCTATTATATTCCTGTGCCTATCATCATTTACTCAAGCACCTATGGGTCTGTAGACCCCCTGTAGCTTTAATGTGCCACAGTTTCTGCTACTCCTATCAGTGGTCTCCAACCTGGCCTCCAAACCATGCTACAGTTTCCATCAGTGCTCTGAGTCAGGTGATACTGAAAACAGTTTGTTTGACAGCCCTCAGACCAGCCAGAACATTGCCAGCAAGTTTGATTCCTTTTCTTCTCTTCTGAGGGAACATGGTATTGGGAAATTTCTCCCTGACAGTGCCATGTTGTGCTATGAAAGGGATGAGGAGAGAGAGAGCAAAATGTCACAAAATTTCTCACTAAGTGTGACATTTTCTTAGCGTGCTAGGGATTCATTTGGTTGCTGGAGCTTCTTAACTGGTTTATCAAGTCCTCACAAAGCTATTTTCATTCCTATATTATTGCTTATTTGGTGTTTCCATGGGAGAGCAAAGACCTCGAGTTTTCTAATTCACCCTCCTGCTGGTATCACTGACCACCATAGTTTTTTTCACAGATATATTTTTTTTTTTGGGGGGGGGTGTAACTTCTGTGTACAATTCGATGATTTTTTAGTAAAATTCCACAGTTGTGAAAGCATCTCCACAATCCAATTTTAGGACTTTCCCATCATCCTAAAAGGCCCTTCACGCCCATTTACAGTAATTTGCAATTCTCATGTCCAGTTCCTGGCAACCACGAATCTACTTTTTGTCCTCCTAGATTTGTCTTTGCTGGACATTTCATGTAAACAGAATTGTACAATATGTGGTCTCTGGTGTCTTATTTCTTTTACTTAGCATAGTATGAAAATCTTTGTTTTTGAGGAACAATTTTGCTGATTATGGAATTCTTGGATGACATTTTTTTTCCCCCCAGCACTTTGAAGATCTTTCTTGTCTTCTGGCCTACTGGTCCTATTTAGAAGTCTGCTGTCTTTGTGAAGCCATAACATTGCTCTCTTTTTTTTTTTTTTTTTTGAGTTGGAGTCTCACTCTGTTGCCCAGACTGGAGTGCAGTGGCCGCTCCCGGCCACCGCAGCCTCGACCTGCTGGGCTCCGGCGATCCTTCCGCCTCAGCCTTCCAAGTAGCCGGAATTACAGGCGCGCGCTACCACGCCCGGCTGATTTTTTGATTTATTGTAGAGATGAGGTCTCGCTGCCCAGGCGGGTCTCGAACCCGCTGGCTCAGGCAATCCACTCACCTCAGCCTCCCAAAGGCGCGGGAATACAGGCTGAGCCACTGAGCCCGGCAACATTGCTCTTTGAAGATAATGTGTCTCACCTCCTTCCCAACCTAGCTGCATTTCTTATTTTCCTATTGATTATGCTTGTCATAAGTTTTTATATGATGCTCCTGGGTGTATTTTATTTTATTTTTTTGGTATTGATCCTTCTTGAGATCAACATTGTTCTTAAATTTGTTATTTTATTATATGTGAACAATTCTAGAAAATTATTTCCTTAAATATTCCTTTCTTTTACTAATTATAATACACATATATACTTTTCCCAAATATTCTTTTTTTTCCTGTATTTTTCTCCTTTTTTTCCTCTCTATGGTTCAATCTGGGTAATTTTCTCTGACCTATTTTCTAGTTCACTAATTCCCCAGAATGTGTTTAATGTATTCTTGAGCTTATTTTTTGAATTCTTAATTTCAGTTGTAATATGTTTCAGAATTTCCATTGGATTACATTTTTAAGGTTTTTGTTAAATGATATGCCTGATAACGCCAATAACTTGATTCCGTGGGTGTCTGTTTCTATTATAAGCTTTTTCTCTTTTGTTTTCACTTCTTATTGCTTTTTATACATCGTTATTTTTTAATGCATTCCAGACATTGTATGCAGAAATAAATTGATATTCTGCGTGACATTTATGGCTGTCAGAGGTGCTTTATTTCTGTTTCTGACAGGCAGTTGGAGTAGAGGCATATCACCTTAATTTAGCCAGGACATGAACCACTTTTAAACATGGTATCAACCTTTCTGAGACTTGTGGTTTACTGTCTTCTCTTACTACTAGGGTGTATAGCCTTCTGGGCTACTATCCTGAGACTATGGTGTTTACTGAAGGCATTTTTTTCTTTTTCTGTCTCTGAATTTCAATTTCTTTCCTTGTTTTGTGATATGTTTGCAAGTTCTTCCTATTTTCTCAGCCAGCCCCTAAGCCCTCACTTTTGCTGTTGAAAATAGCAGTTGCATAGGGAAAAAGTGACTTCAAATACTGGACTTTCTCCTTCCCATCTTCTCTTGTCTGGATGTTTGGCCCCACAAATTCTTGGTGCCTTACCAGGTGTCTGATGCCTTCAAAGAGATTAGAAAGTGTTTCTCCCATTTTCTAGATGTTTTTAGTGGAATAGTTGGATTATAACAATCTATACTATCACATGGAGAACTGTCTTTATTTGAGTTCAAAGCTATTATGTCCCTAACCTGTGATTTACAAAGCAAGGATTTTGCCTGTGGCTTGGTAGTTCAGCTTTGATAGTGTTTCTGAACATACATAGTGTTGTGGTAAAAAAGCTTAAATGCTAGAGTCAGACTAATTAGTTTCAAATGTTGGCATTGCCACTGACTAGCCACATGATTTATGGGAAAATTGCTTCAGTTTTCTCATCTATAAGTAGGTATAAGACTATGAATGTTAATTGAGTTAATGCTTAAGACAGTATATGAAGTGTGTTAGGTGTTCCATAAGCATGTATTAAAGAGTAAACAGCAAAGCATACATTCCTTGGGGTGTCATGGGCCATACTATTTATGCCAGGTATTCTAGAGATAGAACTTGTTTTGTATTCTCATAGGTAGAAGGACCACCATGAATGAATGAGAGTTAGAGGTCAGGATTAGCTTTCAAGGGTGAAATACATGTATTTTTATAATTTAATTTTTATTTGTGTCAAATGAGCATATAGACACCAAGTTCAAGAGGTTGAAGACAAGATCAAATGGAAAACAATAGTCTTCTGCCTTGTTCAACATAGCACTTTTACCTTCTACGTCTCATAAACCTCTTCTACTGATCACTGATTTTTTAAAATATTATTTAGGAGAGTGGGGATCGCTTTTAACTGAGATTCCACGGCTTGACATAGAGTCACTATGAAGGCTTTGAGTAATGAGTGTATCATAAAACAAGTTTGATCATCATATATGGAGACTCCGGGTGGGCAAGATGAATAATAACCAAAACTGAACTATGTTAGTAGACCAGATGCTGTCTTTGGCTTGTGTTGCATGGATTGTGCACACCTTATTTGCTTATATCTTTGCTACTCAGAGTGTGGTCCCTGGACCAGTGTCATCGGCATCATCTGGGATTTGTTAGATGTGTAGAATTATGGCCTCACCTCAGACCTAGTGAATCAGAATATGCATTGTAAGAAGGTGCTCAGATGATCTGTAAGTACAGGAAAGTCTGAGAAGTGCTGGCTTAAGTGAATGATGACAGAACAAGCCTGTTGTTATGCATTCATCTTATACATTTCTTATTTCCTCTTTCTCCTTTAAAAAAACAGAACAAAATAAGAACAACAGTGCATGTTAAGTATGTGGTATTGTAGAGACACTATTTATTCTAGTGAATAGATTATGCTGTAATTATTTAAGTTTATGGGTTACAGTTTTATCCTGCAGATAAACCATGGACTCAGTTTAATATTTTGGCATGGGTTTTGGAAGCAGATGGACATAGATTTTATTGAGCATATTATCTTAATTAGCTTTATCTTTGGTAAAATAAAACTCACATGGTATACATTACTGGGCTTATATGAAGATTAAATAAAACAGCATATGTAAAATACCTAGCAGAGTATTGTAGGGCTATGCAATAAATATGAGTTCCCTTTTCCTCCCTACAGAAATGAGTGGCAGAATTATGATACATCACAAACAATAGCAAGGGAATTTACTATGGAATATTTTATTTATGAAATTTGTTGTAAAAAGCTCTTTGATACTGCTGGACTTTCTGGTAGCATTCATCTTTTTCCTATTGATGTTAATCACACACACACAT